AGACTATAAATTACTTTTATGCATCTACTAATTCGACGATCACGCAATTCATGCAGATCCGAATCATGCCACTTATGCACCCTGATCCTAATCCGGCACCACGAAATCCCAGGGTACCAAATTAACCCGTGATACTAGTATTTAAATCGACCTCGGTGCATTAATTAAAAATGTAGTGATTGGATCCGTTATTCGTTTAATCGCCTTTAACCGTTTATTTATGTTATGCGGTTAAATGAGTATGAAATTTATAAACGATAAACTATTCGCTTAATTGTTTATAACTCTGAACGTTATCAACGATGGTTAGGCCACGCCAATTTAAAACTATGTTTAACATAACCCCCTCTTTGAGCCTCAGATATAGGGGGTAATTAACATCATTTAATATAAAAATTATATTAACTGTTCAAAAAAATTTTTTTTAGCCAATCAAAATCTCATGTTTTTTTACCCCGTTTAGACTTGTAGATCATTTTATTAGTGTTATGTTAAACATAGAGTCAAATTGGAATGGCCTTTATAGTTAACTTTCCGAAATCTATTTCTGAAAAGTGAAGCCATAATATTGATAATCCATTTCATTGACATAATTTTGGTATCTCATTTTTCCGAAATAACATTTAATTAATTACAAATTTCCTATCATGCAATTTATCTGAAACCATTCTCCAAACTAAAAACAATGGACTATTATTATATATTTCATGTTGAGGTATTGAGTTTTCAGAAAATTAGTTGGATCAGGAAAGATGAAAACTTCTATCGGTGAAATGGGCTGTTGGTATTATGTGATCAGAGAAATAGTATTTCGGAAAAGTGGATTTTGGGAAATTGAGCAACAACGATCAAACGATTAGGCAGCATAATTATGAGTGATGCCAAATTAAAATTGAATCGAATATTCAAGTTCTTACTCTGGTGAACTGATTGTATTATGCTTCAATTATGCTATATAATAATTTCTCGGAGCTAAGTTCGTCACAATGAAAACATAAATATTTGCTTCCTGGTTTTAATTTGGTGGAACTCATATATGGCTGTTATCTATCAAAACAGACATTTTTACATATATTTTATTTTTCGGACTGATCCGGGATTAATTAAATTTCACGATTTTGATTGGTTAAATATAACAGGTAATCTCATGATGTGTTGGCCTTACGCAGCCTCGTGTAATTTTTCTTTTACAATTATCTTGATTTTTTATTATGCAAATCGATTTTCATTTATAATTGAACAATATCGATCATGTCAAAATTTATATAAATTTGATACAAACTCATTTTTCAAAAACTTGTAAAAATGAGCTGGTTTAATAGATAACATCTCATATACTATTTTATTAAAGACTATTTATTTAACAATTAAATATACAGTTATATGATTATGGTTAAATGGTCAAATAATTATATGATTATTAATTAATTAATCATATAACTTGTAATTAAGCAACATGATTAACTATTACAATAATTTTTTGCAGTTCCAATCTCTAAAAAATGAGTAAATTTTTATATATTACAAATAACAATCTATTGTTATAACCTTTAATATTAATGCTCTAACCCTAAACTTCTATCTTTTCACACTTAATTTATTTATAAAATTTGATTTTCTTTTTAGTTTGTATTACTTATGCAAATAAGTAAACTGGTTTTACACAACCTTTACAAAAATGCTTGTTCAAATTTGTAAGCAATATTCTAAAAATTTTCTAGTTATTCTGGTTTATTTATAAAAATGTTTTATTTTCCAAATAGAAAATTACTTTGAATAACCGGCAGTGATCATTACCAGTATATAATTAGCCAATAATGATAAACTAAAAAAGATTGTATTTTATTTACTTTAGGGTTAGAGTAAGGCCTGAGATTTTAGCAAGATGTTAAATATATGCAAAATTTAGTAAGAAATTTTTTTTGTTAGATTGTTGAAGGTAGTTTCATAGACGAATTCTTGAGATATTATTATTTTTTTAAAAAAAAATTTATTTTTGTTATACAAATTAATTTGTATGTCACATCTGATCTTGCAAATTTATTGGCTAATTATATACCAGTAATTATTACTATATACTATACTGAATATATATAATATTTATACCTAATATTATTAATCCAAAAAATTTTTTTAAATTATAGTATCAAAATTGTACAATATTAGAATGTTCTATAGAATAGGTAGGCAAACTCCACAAACTCTGCAACTCTGCTGTTAAAAATTAATGATTACTAATCATTAGTAAAGCTTATTTCTTATTTTGTCTACCTATTCTATAGAATATCCAATATTATACTAGCATTCAGAAAATTGACATTATTCTAATTATTTTTTCAGATAATATTTACAATAATTGAACAAATTTTTTTTATAAAAAATAAACTATTTATAGTATTATCCAAATTAATATAGGCAAAAAAAGTATTTTTACTAAAACAATTATTATAAAATGATAAAATTTATAAAAAATTGCTATTAACAGCACTTCAATTCCTATTCATATTCTTAATAACCTTATAAAAGATACAGCATACAATTACAAAGATAATAGCTACTATCTCAAAATATAAGTAAAGTATATAACTCTATTAATTTTAATTTCTTAAAACAATTATTATTTTGTCTCTTTTTATCTATCCATCTTTTTGCAAATCAACACAATCAAGTTATTACTAATTTAAAGCTTACTCTTTTATACTCTATATATAGCAGTATTGATCAAGTAAAACTATTGCCTCTCTACTCTAGAGAATATATTATGGTCTTCTTATCTATATTTATTATTAATTTATTGTATATACTATCAAAATATTATAAATCACTAATCTAAAAGAAAAAATCTTTGATAAACTTCAAACTCACAGTTTTATTCTTGTATATATAAATAGTACTTTTTGGATTGCATCTTTACAAACTAAACTATTTCATATAATTTTTGTAGCAGAATTATTTTATAAGATAGTTAATATCTAAATTAATCTTTTTAGATCTATACTTACTACTAATTATTCTCTTATATTCACAACTATACAAAATTTACAATATTTGGGATATTCAACTTTAACATTATTTTTCTAACTATATTAAATGACTTAATAATTTAAATCTTTTAGAAATTAATTCTTGTATTCAACTTCAACAACTTTAAAATAATCTTTGGTCTTCTATTAATATATTACTATACCTAAACTCTATTATAGATAAACCTAATAAGCTAATTATTAGCTTCAAAATTATTTAACTATTTAAATATCTTGAACTTTTTATTGCTTTTAATATGTATATAGTATGGTATATACTATAATATAAAAGTTAATCTATAATAAAATAAAAAAATATGATCAAAAAATCATCTTAATATCAAAAAAAATAATAATTTTAAAAAATTTTTATAATAAAGTTTATAAAATATATTTTAAGAAGAATTAATCAATTTGTAACCATAGATTACAAATTGATTTTATAACCATAGGTTATAAATTGATTTTATAACCATAGATTACAAGTTAATTTTATAACCGTAAATAATATAAGCTAATAAATAGAATCAATATTAACTATAGTATAAGATAGTATATGATACCAATAATGTAATTGAATAATACATATATAAAAAAAAACAATAAATGTATCTTAGTTCTTTTCACTACAATAAACGAAGATATCAATAGAATAAAGGCAAAATATATACATGCGATCAATTAATTATACAAAATTGTAAAGATCTTTATTATTGTATAACATATACTATATCAGCCCTTTAAAATATATTCACAAGCATTTACAAAGTAATTACATACCTTTGAAGTCCAAGAAAACTTGTACAAAATTATAAAAAACTTGTCGACCATACAATACATAATGCATAGATTTTGCTTACATCTACAAGTTTTTTATTGCATAATTTAGAAAGTTAGACAAGAAAAATATATGTACTTCAACTAGTTGTTGTGGTATCTTAACCTGTGATACATCGATCTCAAGAAAACTGCAAGTTGATGAATTAAGATATTTGAATCAGGTATTCATGATATGAAGAATATACTATTGAAAAATTGAACTATTCACTAAATAATGCTTACCATTTTTCTACAAGCTTTATAACATTAGCCACAAAGTTCACAGCATATGTCAAGTTGTGAAATATTACCAGTTTTCAATTTACAAGTTTCTCCCATATGTTTTGTCAGCTCACAGGTTTCTCCTATGCATCTTGTATATTTATAGCCTATGTCAAGTAATATTACTAACCTCTAGTTCACAAATTTTTTACATATGTTTTGTATGTTTACAGCCTATTTTAAATAGTAAAATATTACAACAGCCTATACCAGATAGTGAGATATTACTGGCCTCTGGTTCACAAGCTTTTTCTTTGCACTCTATATATTTACAGCCTTTGTCAAGTAGTGAGACATCTTTAGCTTTCAATTTACAAGCTTCTCCTATCCATTCTATACAACAAGAATATACTTCACCCAAACCTGAAATATTGTCTATTAATAATATAGAAAATGATGCATTGATTAATTTTAATATATTAGATATAAATAAAAATGAATATCAAAATAATGAATTTAATGATCAAGAAAAGCTTGAAATTATTCTTGGCTCGGTATTTCTAACTTGAGAACAGCTTGATTATTATATTAAAGTATATGCAAAGAAAAATAGCTTTGTATCAATTATTATTAGATCTGATCTGATGAAACTACCTATAGAAGGTGTTGATATATCTGTGAATATCAAAGCATAGCTCGTTCAAAGAAAACAACTATTTTAGAAAGTTAAAAACAGTCTCAAACAAAGTGATTAGGGTGTAAATGGCTAGTCAATGCAATATATCTAAAAATGACAGAAATAATAAAGATTACTTCTTGTTACCTTGAACATACCAATCATAAAATCCATCTTGACAAAATTACTTTTGCTTCCGTCTATCAACAATTTCCAGAAGAAGTTAAAAAGGAAATTGAATATTATACTTCAAAGAGGTTAAGTATGTGGATGCAGCTTTCCTTACTTGAAGACAAATATCCTAATATTCTTTTTTTACCATGAAATTTGTCAATTACAATACATTTATTCAAGCAACGTAATAATATTGTTAATAAAGCATCTAATTTTCTGAAAACACTTCTTAATAACAAAGTGCAAGACCCAAATTAAGTTATTTATTAGAAATTAGAACCTATTTCTAATTCTTTAGAATTACTTTTCTGAATAGAACCTAGTCAGGTTTGATATAGATCTGCTATTATGACATTATTATAAATGACAATACATACAGTACAAATTATTTCAATATGGTACTTAGTCTCTTTGTGGGTATAGATAATTACAATTGAAGACATCTTGTTGCCCAAGTATTGATGAATAATAAAACTACTACTAGTTTTGAATAGATTCTTTTAAGTTTTTGGAATCACTAGATGTTAACCATGTGTTCTTGTTACTAATTCTAATCTTGCAAATGAAGCTGTTATTGAGAACATAATGTCTAAAACTTACAGAATGAACTACATATATTATATTAGTCAGAATCTTCTAAAAAATCTAAAAAGTAAACTTGGATCAGACTAGGATGGGTTTATAAAAGACTGGTACAAAATGCGAAATAGTTTATCAAAACAAGACTTTGAATCTGAATGGAATTTGCTCATTAGCAAATATCCAACTACAAAATTAAATCTTGAATAAACACTTTATAGTACTAAAGAACGGTAAGCACTAGCTTGGATTTTAAATAAGTTTACTGCCAGAGTCCAATCTACACAACAAGTAGAAAGCATTAATACTATTGTTAAATTTAACATAACAAGCAAAATTAGTTTATCTAAACTTGTAAATATTTTAGACACTCATCTTGCTCAGGAATCAATGTATATTCACTATAATAGTTGGTCTAAAGCTTATATTAAACCTACTCAGATAACAGCATCAGTTTAATTATTGCCTAAAATTGATAAGTAGCTTATCAAATTTTTGCACCGCCTGTTCTATCTTTATAGAGAGCTGAAATAGCCGAAGTATTTTGGTATAGTTCTCTATTAATTTCTCAGAAAAGTATGAATATTAATCTGTTATAAGAAAAAAGTGAGATAGGCTTTTATGAAGATCATGATGATTTTCTAGCTATAGTCATCAATGAAGTTATTACATATTTGTCAACATTATCTATTCAAGAAGTTTAGAAAATCACTTGTTATCAAACATCTCATAAAAATTATATTGTTATATTTGAAAATAGCAATTATACTTGTACTTGCATGCGACTTATTAATCAGGGTCTTTTTTGTCGCTATTTTGCAAAGGTTATAACAGTTTCTCAAATTGCTGCTTTTTATATTCTTATGATTTCACGATATTGGTATAAAGATGAACACTATTCAAAACTAGATAAATTACTAAGATCACAACTATCTATTACTTATCAAAATGGAAGTACTATTTTAACTTCTAATTTTATATCAGATTCTACTTTTATATATCCAAGTTCTGGTATTTCTATTAATATATCAAAAATACTCAATACTTATCGTGCATATAGAATTACAAATAGTCGCTGTAAGAAAGCTATGGCTGTTGGATTGGTTACTAGTGTGATTGCAATAGAAACTCTTAATAAGTTTTTGGAAGACTTCATTCAACAACATTCTGTAAATTCTGATCAATAATTGGTTGCTAATACTGTTGCAAGAGAAATTCAAAATGATGAATCAAGTGAGGATAATCAAGAAAATATTGCACCTTTTGATATTTCTACTGTTCAAAATCCTATAACTAAAAAGAAAAAAGGAGCCCCAAGAGTTAAACATATTAAAAGCTCTCTTGAACTAAAAACTACACAATCAATTACTAAGAAAGATAAAGGTATATGCTTTGTTCTCATTAAAGCAACCTAATCATTATGCCAAAACTTGTTCTGTTAATCTTTAATTATGTGATTATATAAAAGGTAGTAGCTTTATACTATGTATAAGATTAGTATAATTAGTTAATAGATTTTATTTTACTAACAAATTCATTATTAATCAATATATTGTTACATTATTACTTTTTAATTGCTATGTGATTGAAATTATTTAAATACTATCAATTGTTTTTTGTATTATCATGATAGTTATCTAGTCAAAGATTAATAAAAAAGATCATAAATTGTATGAAATTTAACAATATCATATAATATGTATACCGTCCTTGCTTTGAATAAATTAACGTGCAATTCTACTAAAAAGGAAGTTTTCTTACATTTTGGTTTGTTGTACATACATATATACTAATAATTCTTATGTATCAATACTTGTAATACTAAATATGACTTGTATTTGAACCAGTTTGGTATTTAATCTAGGTTTAATCAGTTTTTACTATTTAATATTAAAGAAGATGTTTAAAGTATTGTACATCATATATTTTTGACTATTTAGTTAAAGTTAGATAAGGGTTAGTTTGGAGTTAGAGTTAGGGTATGTTTTATAGGTAACATCATCTTCCTGACATTTTTTATTAATATATCAATATAGGTTTAGATATTAGTTTTCTTGTATTCTTTGTTTTCTCACTTTTTTCTTCTTTTTTCTTTGTTGAGCTAATCTGTATCAGTCAAATCAAACAATTTGATTGGCTTTATATCACATGATCGCATATTGTTTTAAATAACTCCAATTTAAAAAAATAAAACCAGTTTTATACAGAATATTATATAATTATGCAGCAGTATATTACACTAATTAACTGCGGTTATTGCAACTGGGGTTACAAATTTATTAACTCTTTTAAAAATATATTTTATAAATAAATTATTATTTTATTTAAAAAATATTAACTATAATTTAATTTTTTAGACAAATTTGTCTAAATTATAGTTTAAGAGATAAAATATTATCTTATATAATTTACTATAATTTATAATATACTGTATATAATTGTATTATATTTGTATGTAATAATATACATATATATTATTTCAAAATTGCTATTTTTACAAATCATCTATTTAACTTAAAATAATGCATATATATATCCTGAAATAGAGCATTCTCTAAAAGTTTGCACAATAAATATAAATATAGAGCACAGGTCTATTAAATTATTAGTAATATTAATTTGAAATATTTTTTTTTGAAAGTATTGCCAATATCTTATTAGATTAAAGTATATACACAAAAAGATATACTAAAACTATTTAAATTATAGATCTGACATTACTCAGCTACCCTTAGAGGTGTCCAAATTTAGTCTGCCTTACAGGTTAAGGCTATTGTCCTACTAGAGGACTATACCAAGCTAGCTGAAAAAATTATTACAAGAATGGTTTCAAAATAAAAGAATTTCTAACTAAATTACATTGGCAATTTTTCTTTTCTAGACTATCCTCCTCCTTAAAACAAAGTTTTAAATCTAATTTTCTAATAATAAACAACAAAACTTCCTCTTTTGATATAGGGTTATTGCCAAGGTTTTTTGTTTATATTTGTATTTTCTTTTTCTTTTCTTCCAATTTAATCTGTCTTTTCCAATTAGAGACCTGGCTCTTGGGAGTTTTTTTATATTCTTTACTATAATCTTTCTTTTCTGTTTTATAGCTTTATATCTTCTTTCTTCTTCTCGAGCACTTGTTCTATATGCTTTCTTCTAGTAATATTCTTCTGTATCTTTTTTCTTTCTTAGAGTATCTTGAGTTCTTTTTTAGTTTTTCTATTTCTAGGTCTTGATCAAACTGCCCAAGTTCTTCTTTTTTTATATTCTGGGTATAGAAGTCTTTCTTCTTCCTTTTTTTAGTCTTTTTTCTCTTGCTTTTTTTCTAGAACTTGGTCCTCTTTCTAGGAATTTTTCTTGTATTTTGTTAAAGATCTCTCAGTTTTTGAGATATCCTACAAAAATCTTTTTTAATATTTCTAGTAATGTATCCTTTTTTTTTCTTTTTTGATTTTTGATACCTCTCGGCCTAGGTGCTAATGTGTGATGAGTCAGATTCATATCTAAGTTCTATTGAAACTTCCATCTGTGTATCTATTTTGCAAACAAATTATTTTTCTTCTTTTTCTATATTTTACTATTATACAATAAATCTTAAATGCTTATTTGGTATATTACTTCTGTTAGCCATTTTTTGAAGATGTTAATACAATTTTGGTTTTGATTCTTCTTGAATCTTGTTTAGCATCTTTGCTTTTTTAAGATCTGGGATATCATGTCTTTTGTTTTTATTTTGCTTTTCTTTTGCAATTTTTTTCTTTTTCTTTTCTGACATACTAAGGCAAATTCAACAGATACTTTAAATTATATTATTAGAGTTCTTAATTTTGATTCATTATGCTGCCTTTGCCAGATTTTCTTTGTTTTTGAAGTTTCTTGCTCTAATCTAAATCTAACTTCAATTTTATTTTAGCAGCTTGTTTTTCCTCTTGAACTTGTATCTTTTTCTTTTTATCTTTTATTTTTTTCCTTGTTTCTTGTTAGTTTGTTGTAGTAGTCTTGACAGATTCTTCAAATTGATATACTGTAGACTTTAGGGCTATTTTGTTATACTGTCTTTGTTGACTTTTTCTTTGTTCTTGAAGTCTTTTGCTCTAACCAGCTTCTGGCTTTGACTTTAATTCAGTGTGTTATTTTTCTTTTCCTTCTAATAGTCTTCAAATTCTATTAGCTATACTTAATTCTACTATGTAACCAACTATTTCTTCTATTATAATACAGTTAACTGAGTCTTTTCCTTTTTGTATTGCTTCATAAAAAACCTCATGTTCTTTTTCTAAAAGTGCAAGTTCTGTATACTCTAGTTTTTCTATATTATAATACTATAATTCTTTATAGAGCTTTACTATTTGCTCTTTAACTATTTCTTTTGGAATAAGTTCTTGCCCAGCATATTCTGCTATTATTTCTTCTACTTGTATATTTATTATTTCATCAGTTATTGCTATTGTTATGTCTTTAATATTTGC